CATCAAATTAAGAACAATTGTATCCAATGTAATAATGTATGGCCATTTTTTAATACAATTACAAAAGGTACTCAAATGTAGAGATCAATCAACCATCAACCACATATAAGACAACATATAGTTAATTAAAAGATTAATTGGAAGAATTTTATCAATACAAAGCTTGGTACAACCAAGTTTGAATCCACAAGACCAAGCAACATACACAACTTATAAATCCCCAAAAATGAAAGACAAGAGATACAATTACAAAAGCTTAGGGCTCATCCAAGCCCTAAGTGAAGATTTAGCCGGTTACAAAGACGATGGATGTCATCTTCATGGCTTTAAATCCCATATCCATGTTTAGTTTCACATTCTTCTTCAACCTTGGGAGCAAACCTTAGAGAGAGAAAGTAGAGAAAGCTTTTCAATTTGATCCCCGAAATGTAATCTCCTTGTAAAAATGGCTCGATCTTCTATTTATAGGTGACTCTTAAACTCTAAAAGAGGTCAGACCCCGCACACAATTTTTGCTCCACGAATGCACCACAGACTAGCCTTTAATATGAAACTTGCAACTTTCAGGCACGCATCTGATCGATCAGAGTAAGAGTACTCCGATCGATCGGATTCCGAATAGATAATCCGATCAACCGGGTCTTCTTGAATTGGACCTTTAAGCTTCTTTTCAATTGCTTTCTGAGGCTTGGCATCTTTATTCCTTTAAGGCACTAGAATTATCCCTGTTGGATCTTAAGTATCTGAAAATAGAGAATGAAACAAATCAAGACTAAAATGGAGGAGTAGAGATACGCCAAGTTGCTAACTTATGAATATTAAGGGTTGAATAATGCATATTTCAGCATTTATCATTAAGTCATTAGAGTATTTAATTTATAAAGATTGAATATTTGAATGAAAATTAGAGTTTTGAGTTAAACTAAATCGAGTTCCATTTGAAATCACAAAGAGTGTTTTAATGCAAAAATATTAAATCTTTGAATGAGAATACCTTAATCAAGGTACCTTTGAAGTCATTAGAGTGTTTGAATGTATAACATTGAATCTTTGAATGTAAATACCTTAATTAACGTACCTTTGAAATCACTAGAGTGTTTTAATTTACAAATTCTGGTGTGCTCATGTCAATTCTAGTATATTTAGGGATAGTATGGCCATTTCTAATGTATATGAGCTCATTTTAAGTACATTGAAGAAGGTATATTGTATTACAGACCCTTATTACAGGTTAAACAAGTAACAAATATGGTTTATAATGGCATTTGTCATTCCAGGTGTATTACTTTCTTTTTGTGTGTGAGTGATGCACATGCTTGACACGTGTGAAGTGGTCCTTGTGAGAGAACAGTTGCACAATTCTTTGGCAATGAATCACATTATATATCACAGACTTATATGTATACATCTATTATGTTATACACTGCATTACAAGAAAAAAAAAAAAAAAAAAAAAAAAAAAGCTGAGTTGGCATGGGTAACATGGCCATTTCAAATGGAGAATGTCAGAATATTCTCCTCACTAATGATTGGTGGATTGTGGCACAATACTATCCATTTTTAAGGTTGCATCAACACACTTTTGTACTTTTATATATATGCTGTTATAGTTGTTGGTGTGAATGTACCTCTTGTGAGCTTTTGAGAGCTATTTGTGAGCTACATACTGTGAGACACTCAACACTTAAAGAAGAATGAACGTCTCTGAGTTTTAGATTCATTTAGATTCATGTCAGAATATTCTTTTGAAGTTGATTTTGCTGGTGCAAGATGGTGGTTCAAAGGTTCATTTATGATTTGAGGCATCCACAGGGCTCCTAGAAGGTTGAGGCAAGTTTGTTTTAGTATTTTACATCTACAGAAACTTTGTCTTTATTCATTATATCACTGCTATAGATTTTGACATCTCAAACCTCAGCCTTTGTTGATTTTTCTGAGTACTATATGTTGATATATTATTGTGACCTTCTTGATTATCATATGAGTAAGTTTATTTTGATGATTTGAAGCTGTGCAATTTGAGTTTTGAACAGATAAATGGTCATTTATGGATTTGGCCTTTTAAACCTTGACAGTTAGGGTTGTTTTTTTTTTTTTTTTTTTTTTTTTTTTTTTTTTTTTTGGAAACCAAACCTCATTATGTATTGAGATTGTTATACCTTGCTATACTCGTATTGCTTATCATATGAGCAAGTGTATTTAGGTAATATAAGGTTGTGGAAAACAAGTTTGGGTCTGTATTGAAGCTACATTTCATTTTGTGTACTTAGACCTTAGATTCTGCAAAATTGCTTAAGTACTTATATTGTTTTCATCTTGTAGCTGTGTAATCTCTTTAATATCTTGTAACAACTATTGTAAGGTGTATATTCATCTTTTATCATGTATTTGAAGAGTTGTGAGAGTTGTATTGGTTCAAGCAGGGGTGCTTAGGACATAGGGAGTGTTGTGTGCACAAAGGTGGGCTAGTGTATGTGCAGATTGTGAGACAGATGAGTGTGTATCAACTTGCATACAACTAGTGGATGCTTTTGGGTGAAGCTCACATGTTTTTTTTTTTTTTAATCTCCATTGAGGGGATTTTCCTTGTTAAAACCTGGTGTCTTTGTTGCTGTTAAGTTTTTATCAAACACTTGTGACAGATTAGGGTTTCATCAACTTAGTGAAATCTATAATTGGTTTAAACTTGCTATGGTGTTATACTTGTGCTGAGAAAAATGTTGTAGGAACCAATTCACCATCTTCCCCTCTTAGTTCATCAATTGGTATCAGAGCCAAGGTCTGCTATAATGCTTAATATCTTGCAGAAAAGATCTTGAAACATGGAAGAAGGCCAAGTTACAAACAAGATTCCAGGGTTTGATGGTTCAAACTATGACTCCTAGAAAATCAGGGTGGAGGCATTCTTGATGTCACACAGTTTTATGAAGTTTGACAAGCTACTACAGTTGGTTTAACCATCACAAATGCTACTGAACCTACTACAACTCTGATAAAATTGCTTTGTTAAATTCGGAAGAGCTAAACATGCCGTGTTCTGTGCACTTAAACAACAAGAGTTCACTAAAATCAAAAACTGCAAAACAACTAAAGAATGTGGAACTCTCTCAAAGCTGCTCATGAAGGAAACAACATGATTAAGGAAAATAAGATTCAACTTCTTAAAGTTCAATATGAGTAAGAACTATTTTGAACATGAGTAAAGATTTTTATTAAAATATTCAACTCAAACAATTTGAAATTTAGTTAGATTTGGTTCATTTGCAGCACTTTGGAGAGAGTGAGTGTAACTGTGAGATTTATTTTTAGATCTATTTAGTAAAATCATACGATTAATCATGGGAGCTGATATTGGTGCTCGACTAATGGTCTAAGGCGCTGCACCCTTTCTTTTAAAAAATAAAAGTACAAAAGAGTCCTTACATTACACCATCTTCAATTCTTATATTTTTAATACCATGATTGCCCTGCTTGATTCTTTAAATTATTTTTAACCTTACTACCTCATGTTCTATTTATTCCAAAATAACTTATTTAAAGATCAACGCTTTCCCTTTCATATTAAAATTTGACAACTTCTTTTTACCTTTTTTATAATTTTAATTTATCAACTTTTTCTCTCAAAGATTAAAAATTGATATCAAAGCTAAGCTTGAGATTTTCATTTTGAAATTTATATTTTTGTTGTGACAACAAAAATGTATACACACACGATTAATAGGTTTACAATTTACAATTCCGGCAAGCTTTTTTTTTTTTTTTTTTTCAACTCAAATACCTTCTACTCTAATCATATACATTTTATTACGCTGATTGTTACCCTCTCAAGTCAAGATATTGAATCCTAAACTTTTCCAACTATTTCTTTCTCCTCTTTGATCTACAAATGAATTGTATCTATTATCCTCAACATAGCATCCCAATGGATAAAATACAGTGTTAAAATTATATTTGATAGATTGATTCTGCAAAAAGAAATAATATTTTCAAAATCAGCTCAAAAAATATATTCGGAAGAAGAAAGTAGAACCAAAAATAAAAAATAAAAAATTCACCATTAGATTTGGGCAGATAGAGAAAGGGAGGGGGAGGGAATGTGAAAAAGAAATCCAAGAATCTTCATTTTACTATCAAGAATCTTAATCAGGAAAGATAATTATGATATAAAAAATTGTACGAATAAAACATTATATAGTTAGGAAATTTTTTATAATTTCATTTGAAAATAAAAAAAAAGATAGTGTAATGCTTTTGACTAACAGTACAACGCCAATAACATGACTAGCATGAGGGCACTGTGGACATGCTTTGCTTTTTCCGGATCCGAATATCGTGATTATCTAATTTATATGAAGTAATTCTTTTCATGTTCGGTAGGGGTGACAAATTACAACACGACACGACATGATAACATGACATGAATTAAAAAGGTTTGGGTTTGGCATAAACATATTTGGGTCCTAAAATGATCTATATGATTAACCCATTTACTTAACCGTGTCGGGTTAAGGTTAAAGGGTTCAACCTGTGTAATTCGTTTATGATCCATTTAACTCAATATGTTATAATCGTGAATAAGAACTATGTAATATGTTTAAATTCAATTATTATGGATAGTCAAGTAATTTCAATATAAACTTTATCTATGCCTTATGATTTATTTTTATTTTATTTTGAATATTTGAGTTAATTATGATAATTTTTTTTATTATTTAATATTTAATTAAATATTAAATGTCTCCGATTTGATAAACGAGTTAACACGTTTATTTAAATAAATAAACGACTTGGGTTAGTATTGAGAATTTTTAAAACGATTATTAAATTAATTAAATTTAAATTTATCTATTTAATATAATATTTATATATCCACACAACACAGACACCACCTACAACCCACGAACGCGAATTTCCACACCTACGCGAATTTCCACACCTACTCTCCAGGCATGATATAATATATATATATATATATATATATATATATTCACTCTCTAGACCAACTCTTTCTTTCTCCAAAAGACTATTAAACATTGGAAGCATCAAAATAGTAAGTCCAGATAGAGACAGTGTGGACATCAACGTATATTTTAAAGCTTGAAAAGCGCTATATTCTCGCAGTCGTTTTTAATTTTCTCCTATCATAATACTCAAATCTCTCTACCGATCCAAGACAAGACGGTCATCCTTTTTAATACTCTTCCACTCTCTCTCTACACACTCACATACATACATACATATATATATATATATATACTGTAGTATATATTTGTGTATGTATACGTAGACACGTCTTAGCATTTTCATTTCATTGAATTATACAATAGAATTTGCATCTTTACCACCAAATTGTGTCAATTCGATCTCCTTATCTCATCGCGCTTCAATTGCCAAGCGATTTGCCTCTTCTGACATTTCGAATTTCCGAGAGATTCGGATCAAGAGAAGCTTCTGGCGCTTCGTTTCGTAAGAAATGGTATGAATTTCCGAGATCTTTGTATATTTTTGCTTTCTTTATAATGTTTTGGAAAATTTACAAACAAATCGTCAATTGTGTTTGGTTGCCGAGAAAACGCTGGAAAATGTTGGAAATTCCAGACTGATGTTGTTATCGTTTGGAATTCACAGTAATTGTGAAATTTACTCAGGGAAGTTGAATTTAGGATGCGTTTGAGTTTTCATTTTAGGTCTCAAATTACAATGAAAATAAAAATAAAAAATCAGTATATGGATTTGATTTGTTTTGTCTTTCAACCATACGAGAGGTTAGGTTCAGTTTTATGTATTTATTGGAAGTTTTGTGTGTTTGATATATGATTAATGTTTTAATATTTGTTGCTTTGATCAATCGTTGCTAGTTTTTTTATTCTTGGAAAAATTGTGCAGCATATGCTTCTGCAGGAATATACGCTGGATTCTTGATGTACCAGAAGGAGATTTGGAGGTAATATTGCTGATTTATAGTGAATGAATCACTTGGCATCTTGCCAATAGTGGCGTCTTTAGAGAAGCAGTTTTGCATAAACGTAGGATCTTCGAAGTATATTAAGCTGATTCGAGAACGAATTAGACTGTTAGAGGTTCTTTGGCTCTATCTCCGAAGATAATTATTTGGATCTAGGATGGAGTTTTCGTTACATTTTGCAAATTGATTGATGTGTAACCAAATCAAGTACTTGAGCTAGTATTAGAAACTTCATGTGTTCTGTAGAATTATTTTGGAAAGACATGAATTTGGCTTCTCCCAAGGGGTCTCAAACTATGGTGTATCGGAAGTCTCTTTTATCGATTGCAGCTTCAATAGGAGGACTTGCTATGTTCTTAATGTTGGGTTCGGTGGTTCTTGTCTCACAACCAATTGGGTCCACAGTTCGTGGGTATTTCTACAATATTGATTATTCTAGAAGAATAAGTACAATATCAAGGGCCAATGAAACAGTTATTGATTCTCACCTTGATAATAATGTTGTTGAAGGTTTGAGAAATTTTGACTTAGCAATGTCAGGGGACAATGAACCTCCAAGTGATTCTCAATACCGTAATTCGGACATTAATGATTTGACAAAAGCAAATTTGTCGAGGTCGCCTGTAGACAAGATTGATAAAAAACAGCCATATGAGAAACCATCTAGTTTACAGGGAGAAAAGGAGGGAGTGAATTCATCAGGTCTTCCAATTATATCGAGCACCAGGGGGGACATGGCAGATCAACTGGCACCTATGTCCACATTGTCTTCTGGTATAACACAGGAAGAGAAAGCAACTGAAGGTTCTGTGTCATCTAATGGTACAGGGGACGTGGAAAATACGAAATCTCCTGCCCTGCATTTACCAGATAAGTCCACTATTATACAGACGGGATCAGATGATAGACACCCTGTTTCATCTTATTCCAAAATGGAGGGTGCACCAGCTTTACCTCCTGCGCCTGGCGAAAGAAGCCGGAGTGGTGCAGTGTATTCAGGTATAATCTTACCCTCTTTTTATTTATTTATTTTTATTTGTACCGTCATTATACATGTTCTAGGTTTTTATTTTTTTTATTTAGCCTTTTCTATATATTAATTTGGAATATTTAGCAGCTGGTCCTCTATTTGTACTCTTTTTCGTATATACAAATTTGGAACATGTGAAAGAACGAGCTTACTAATACTAATTCCATCAATGGTAACTTGCTATTTGTATTGCTTAATTTAGCTGCTGGTTATTTACCATTTTTTTTATTGGTCAAATTGTCTATTTATGGTTTTAGTCCGTTGATTTTCCTTGATTTATCTGGATCTCTTTATGAGATACGCTTTCCATTTCTCCCTTTCCTGAAAATTTACTTAAATTCTTTCATTAGTGAAAGGTAAAAACAAAATAGCCAAAAGAGTTTTATAAACTACAATTACTTGCCACAATCTCTCTCTTTGTATATGGAAAATCTCTAGAGGAGAAAGCTGCATTTTTCTCCTTTGATAGGTTGGACTAGAAGGAAACCTTTTTTTAAGTTTTATCATTATATCTTTACATATGAAGTTTGAAGAAGATGTCTGAACTTTGAAGGGCCAAAACATAACACGCGCCCCCCACAAACACACATATGGTTCCTTCCCTTTTCCTTTCCTCTTCTCTCTCCTTTCCCTCCTACTGAAGAATGAAAACTGTATCTATCCCCTCTTGTTGGTCCCCACTCTTCCCTCTTACCGAACCGACCATTAGTTTCTAGTTGTTTCAAATTTTTTCTATAAAATAAAAATTAGGAAATTTGATCAAGAATAGTGGGATCAGATATTTATGTAAATGACTTAATTGATTGAAAAGACATGCGTTGGACTAGAGCACATATTTCAAAGTGACAAGTGATTGGAAGTGTTTTATATCTTTGCTTTCGTGTGTTTCATCAAAACCTGAGATTGTGTCTACTTGGTTTATCATGTTCTTCAAAGAACATACTTCTGTTTTTCTGCTTATTCAAAGCCCTCTTATTTTATGACAGGATGCTGTGGAGTCAGTATATCCCTGAGAGATATATGACTAATTTCTAATTGTTGATATTTTAATAAATGATTTCATCTCTATGCAAATTCATTTAGATTCTTGGATTATTATTATTATTATTTAGCATGATGCTTTAGATGATAATGATTAGTCTTAACAACATATCCTTCCCTTGAATAACTGTTGCCCAAGTATAGACTCTTAGAGGGGGGGGGGGTAAATAGAGTCTAAGCAAACTAAGGTCAAATTTTCAATATTGATTTATCAACTAAAGTTAAACTTAACTTCTTTGGAAAATACTGAATGATGCAAACTGAATTTAAGCTTTAATTGTCAATATTTATGAAGAGGCATATCAAGACATACATGAAGCAATAAATATGAGAGATAAAGATATAAGTTGCAAACATATACTCAGCGATTTTAACGAGGTTCGGAAACTCCTACTCCTCGGCTCAAAACCCCTCTTGAGACTTCCCAATTCACTAAGGCTTCTCCTTGCGGGTGGAGAACAAACTTTTTACAAGAAGCACCTTCTAGCTTCTAAGTGCTAAGAGATACACCTTCTCTTAGTCTTCGTTGAGCCACACCAGCTCTTACAAGTTTTTGAAATATATAGATGAAGTACAAGATGATCTCTCTTTCATATTTGAAGTACAAGATTTAGCTCACTCTAGAGTATATATAAATAACTTGAAGCTCAACTCTCTTTTTTTATATATGATGTGTATAAAATGATGATGAAAAGTTTTGATTGCTAGTAGATCTTTTTCAATAAATGCTACAATCTTTTATGAAGTTATTCAGTCATTATATACACTTTCAGATGATGTCTGATACTTTTCTAGCTGTTGGACACACACCCCAAGACAGAAATGCCTGTTAGAATTTTGAAATGTGCAGCTTCGGTCGACCGAAGTGAAACTCCCTTGAGTTTCGGTCGTCCGAGATGGTTTTCTGTTTGGACACCCTTCTCAGTACTTCAGCTTCGGTAGACCGAAGAGGAACCCGTGTTTATTTCGGTCGACCAAAATAGTTTCAGGATTGAACTTCACCCTCTCGGTATATCTATTTCGGTAGACCGAAGTGAACTTTTAGTTATTTCGGTCGACCGAAATAACTATTAGTTGGATCTGTATATTCATTTCGGTAGACCGAAATGAAATGATGATTTATTTGGTAGACCGAAATAACTTGAAGCTTTGATCCTAACTCTTGGTTCATTTCGGTAGACTGATATACAAGTGCTTCTCATTTCGGTAGACCGAAATGGATTCACATTTTCAGATAAGGATATGCTTAAGTCCTTTGTTCCTTAGTCATGGTGATTGAGATGATATGCATAATGTTTGAGAGTTTGAACTTCAAGATATTCATGTACACTTTAAGATAACTTCCTAAGAAACTCACCGACCTAGCTAACCCCATTTTGATATCTTGTGATGACTTGACTTTGACTTTTGATTGCTTGGTCCTTTGCTCATGCCTTGGTGTTGCTTCTTCAGTTTTGTCCTTGTATTGTAGTGCTTGTTTTGATGAATGCTTTGCTCTGTAATTTCACTCAAGAAGACATTAGTAATCATAGAACATCATTAATGAATTATGATCATCAAAAACCTTTGATTCAAGGTCAACAATAACAACTCATAATTTGCAAGCATAAGGTTTAATTTGTCTTGACCATCGGTTTTGCACGAAGGACAGTGATAGCAGCGACTATGGGGTTTGTTTAACATTCTTTGTGGATGATATGGTGGCATATGGCACTTCAGATTTTCTACTTATAATTCCCTTTATTAAATACTAGCCAAGGTAGCTAAATATGCAAAAAGATATAATGTGATGTACTAAGCTGAAAGTTATTACATTTCTAAGTGGAGAATAATATATTTCTACATTCTAAGCTGATCTATTTTCATTCTTCAAACATGTAGCAATTTAACCCCTTATTATTTCAACATTGAAGAGCTTGTCTAGGGTGCAATGTTTTGGTAAGCATTTGTGACAGAAGTTACATACTAAGCTGAAAACCAGTGGCTTCATGGGCTCTAGTCAGGCAGCAGCCCCCACTCAAATCTTTTTTATTAGTTCTTTGTCTATATATTTTTTCTAATGGTAAATATGCCCCCAATCAAAATTGGGGCAAAAAAAAAAAAAAAAAAAACTTCAAGTCTTGAAGTTCAAAATGAAAAAGTAGTTAATTTTTTCTCATCTAACTGTGAGAGAAAGAGAGAGATGGACGTTTCACTGAGTATCTGACTATGTCTAGTTTTCTATATTCCAAGTTCTTAAGGTTAGAAATTTTCTTTCTTCTCTTACTTTCGTTTTCCCACTCAAGTTATGGTTAAAGTTCTGTATTTCTACTCTTTATATTCTCTATAATCTATATTATTTTGTGTTTTATTGGAGAAAACCTTATATATTTGCTAATCTATAAATTGTATTTGCTTGCTAGATTTATTTGGAAAAAGAGAATCCATGTAGTCATCCCTGTACTTAGGGATAAAGGCAAGGATGATAATGATGATGATGATCAAATTTTTTTATTTCCTAGATGGGTTGAAGACTTGTGTTTGCTGGCTAGATATTTTTTTTCCCTTTTAATTAATTAGGATCCAGATAATTTTTGTTATTTTATATATTCTATGTAAAGCATTTCTCGAAATCTTATCAAATTGCGAACACTATGAAATAATATATGATGTAGTCTAAAATGATTGCAAAATCTTTGAGTGGATATTTATTAAGACCCACATATCCGAGTGCCAAATTTCACAATTGAACAGTGTCATTATGAATGCATGACATTTGAGTTCTTCCAATTCAATGAGCCACAATCTAAATGATAAATTTTTTAAATTGAAAGAATGTTAGATTTCACAAATTGAATACTTAACTGTAACCTTGTAAATGCATAAATTCCAAAATCTAATGATCTTTTTACCTATTATCATAGTAAAATAGTGCATTATGTCATTCAACCAATTAACTTCGCTTGGCCGTATATATTGAAAAAGGCATACTTAATGCCAATGAATGATAATGAGGTTGTTTTGTAGTCTTTCAAAATATAAAATTTTTGTCAAGAACAATTATAAATGTTCTTACTGTATTGATTAACATTAAAATTTATTTACTACCACATTCCGCAATGATGGGAGCCTCGTGCACTGGGCTAGCCCTATTGTTCAAGTTTGCTCCCACTAGGGTAAATTCCTGGCTTTGCTATTGCTGTAAACCATTTCGTTCTTCATAGAAAAGTTATATTTCCCTTCTTGTAGTTTGATGCTAATGGCCTTGTGACTTTTCGTCAGCACAATATTTTGTCAGAAGATTTTGCTTTTTTATTTTATTTTATTATTTTTAAAAATAATAATATATATATATTTCATAACTCTTAATTTGCCTCTTTGCTGTTTATTATGTAGATTGTGATCTGTACCATGGAAAATGGATATATGATTCAACTGGACCGCTATACACGAATGGTTCGTGCCCTGTCCTGACGCAGATGCAGAACTGCCAGGGAAATGGGAGGCCTGACAAGGAATATGAGAATTGGCGATGGAAACCTGCTCAATGTGACCTCCCGCGTTTTGATGCGAAGAAGTTTTTGGAGTTGATGAGAGGGAAGACACTAGCTTTCATTGGTGACTCGGTTGCTCGGAACCAGATGGAATCTATGATGTGCATCCTTTGGCAGGCATGTATAGAGCTTTCTATAATGATATTAACAGCAAGATTGGAAATTCTCTCATAATTGGGGTTGTGTAGTTTGCTCCAGTGATACCCCAACCTCATTCTAATTAAAGAATTCTCTTATTGCCATAGTGTGTTTATATATAAATGTGAACTACAAAATATTCATTAAACTTGCTGACAAGGCTGGTTGCAAATTACAGTCCATGGGTGTGGAATTTTAGGTCAAAAACCACACTTGGCAAGGTGGAGGTTCTGGGTTTGATCATTCCCCCGAGGGCAACTTCATTAGGGTTCTCCTGAGAACAAAATTGGTATGTGACATTTGGGGCCTACCACATGTTCAGAGGGAATACTCCAAAGGGTAGGGAGTCGGGACGCCCCTCTAGTAAAAGAAAGGGAAAAGAGAGGAAGAAAAAATAATAAAAAAAGTAATGTGCTGAGGGCAGTATGTAAAATGGCAGTTCAAACCAGTTTGGGGAAGATTATGTGGCGTTCATATGGTTTGTTTCATTGATTGCTGAATTTTGTTACATACTTTATACTTTATATTTTAAATTTATGTTTTTGTGGTTTTAGTTTGTTACAGTTCTATTCCTTGTCTCGTCACCATTAAGTGCACTGAATTGCAATTATATATAGATAGAATGACTAAAATACCCTTCAATGATGAGGTTAATTTTTCATTTTATCTTTGGAATAATTGATATTTTAGAGGGGTGAGAGTACCATCTATGCATTTTTCTTTTCTAGGAAAAGGTGATACTGTTTGTTTAGGTTGGTTTCACATTACAGTTTGCTCTTCACCAGAAATCCTTAGTGGGTGATTTGAATTGGAAATGGGCTAGAAGGTTTCTGAAATAGAGAGGGAGCATTTCCCTTTATAATCAATATAGGAAGGGGCTATTACTGAAGAAAATCTACATAATCTGGGGATATAAATAGAGAACTTAACATGGTGATGATAGAATGCATCAGACATGAAGCAGTATGGAAAACTTAAATCAGCATGCAAAGAGAAATAAAATATATGCACAATTTATATAATCCTATGTTTGTCTGAGGGTGGGTCCTGGTGCAGAGGTGAGATTGCTCTACTGTGACCTGGAGGTCGCGGTTTCGAAACAGGAAACAATCCCTCAGCATGCGGAGGTAAAACTGCACTGGGCTGCCCTTTTTGTATAATTAAATGTTAGTCTGGATTGATAGCATCTAGAGTTGCTAGTTTGAACTTTCTAGTCTAGCTTAGTTGAAACATGAGCTGGGAGTGAACCCCTATTGCTGGTGTTCTGGCCCAATTCTGTAGGCTCAGTTCAAATATGTTCTGGTCAGACTCTGAAATTTTTTTTTTACTTAGTTTGGCTAGTCCTCGTCAATTTTGTTTAAGTAGTATATCCTTCCTTTGATCACAAATGAAGGTCTAGCTCAGTTTGTGAATACTAGATGCAGATATTGAATTGATGTATTGTACCTTGCAAATGATACAATTTACTCACCAAAAGAAGTGATAAATATTTTTTTTTTTTTTTTTTTTTTTCTGTTTCTTCTTCAAATATGAACCAAGTCCAAGTGTACACACTGCAAAAATCATGTCATGTTGTATATTGCTTTAGCCCATGCCACTTATTTGATTAAATCTCTTTTCCTAATTTCGTTTTTGCCTTTTTATTTAATTTATATAAACCGTTAGTTTGATTTCTCTTAAAAAATTATACTATTTTAATGCTAAAATGGCATCATATCTAACATCCTAGGTTTTCCTGTCACGTATTTGCAAATATGTCTGAACATGTGCGAGTGTGAGAAAGTTAGTATCTGACACGTTAATGACATAACTGCTTCTTCTTAGAAGTCGCCTTGCTTCTTAATGTAGAGGTCTATCTTGGGCTTGGAAGTTGGGAGTTCGATGTTTCAAGCCTTGAAAGAGATGAAAAGAATTTCTATTTTTGTTAAGCAAGAACATTACATGAATGTGCTTGGATCTGGCCAATCTAAGTGTGTAGTGTGATTTGCTCAAACTGGATAATTGCTGCTTTTGTCATCATCTACTTTGATCACTTCCCTAATAATATTGTTATCTGCTGATCATCTCAATTTACAATTATGGGCTATTTTCAGGTTGAAGTTCCAAAAAACCGGGGGAACAAAAGGATGCAGCGTTATTATTTCAAGTCAACATCAACAATGATAATCCGGATATGGTCCTCGTGGCTTGTCCGCAGAACTTCAGAGCCATTTGATTTTGCTCCAGAAGGTGTGGACAAGCTCCACCTTGATGCTCCCGATGACAACTTCATGGAATTGATCCCAACCTTTGATGTGGTTGTCCTTTCCTCCGGCCACTGGTTTGCGAAGAAATCAGTCTATATCTTAAACAATCAGATCGTGGGAGGACAGTTGTGGTGGCCTGACAAGTCTAAACCAAAGAAAATTAACAACATTGAAGCTTTTGGAATATCTGTTGAAACTATTCTCACTGCCATGGGTACACATCCAAATTACACAGGCCTGACCATTGTGCGCTCCTTTTCACCTGATCATTATGAGGGTGGTGCCTGGAATACTGGAGGATCATGCACCGGGAAGGTAAGGCCTGTCTTAGATGGTCAATTAGTGGAGAATGGTTTTACAAATATAATGCATGAGAAACAGGTGAGTGGTTTTAACCGTGCAATCAAGAAGGTGGCAAACAAATCAAAATTGAGACTGATGGATATCACAGAAGCCTTTGGGTACCGCCATGATGGGCATCCGGGGCCATATAGAAGCCCTGATCCAAATAAGATCACGAAGCGTGGTCCAGATGGGAAGCCCCCGCCACAGGATTGCTTACATTGGTGCATGCCTGGCCCTGTTGATACATGGAATGAGCTGGTGCTTGAAATCATAAGAAGAGATTTTGATGGCAGCCAAACCTTACCCTCATGATCTGTCCACATGTTTGCTGTTAGCTAGTCAATATTTGCTTCTGCGAATGAAAAGGTTAATGTGCTTGGAAAGATCTAGTAAATTATGGCCAGGGTGGTGGCTAGCATATTCCTATTCTTATAAGATATACGTGTAGAGAGAATTTCAGTTGTAAGTTGTAACACGCAGGTAGTTCGTGCATTACAGTTTATTTATTGGTCAATTATAAAGGTCAAATATGTATTCATAGAGATACTAGTAGCTATTCCTCATTTTGATCTATCGGTATATGTAATTCGAAGAAATTAAGAGCTGTTCTTGAGTTTTCCCATCTGTTTAAACTATTTCAATCCCATTTAGTTACATACACGTTATGCAGGTGGATTGCCATCCCTAGCTGGGCATTCTTGCTTTCATCTGAATGATGAAATGAGCAAGAATATTGGTTAATGCGAAGTGCAAACTATATTTTGTTTTTTAGTGTTAAATTCTGACGTGAAAAAGCTATGTCAACAGTTGTTTGGCTATAAAACTTGGAAGTCACTCTTGAGTGGCACTGAAACTGTTTCTATCCACCAGCTCAATCCTGTGTTTTCTCTGTGCACTTGGTGTTAATTTTGCTTGGATTCTTTCCCTTTCTATGTTGATGTTCTCAGGCTTGATTTATAACTTTATATAGATGGCAGCCCCGTATGTACTTTACAACGAACAGTATCTACAAACATTGTTCATATTGTCAGACCTTGAATCTCTGTATCATTGTTTTTGTCCTCAGTGACATCCTGTACATGCAAGTTCTTATTCTTCTCTGAGTTATGACTACCACTGTTTCAACTTTCCGATATAGAAAGCTATAAATATTTGACTGCTACCCTTTATTTGTTTATTTTGTTCGTGGGCAACTGCCATAATGGTCTGATGGGTTATTTTGATACCTGAAAGTCTCTGCATTACAGCCTTTGGTTGCATACTTTCATCTGATTATTATGCTGAAAGAAACTAATCATTGGCTTTACTTTCTTTTTCTTAATCTAATGTAATGTTTGTTTTGCAGAACAACTGGCGCTTTGTGTTCGAGGGGCTGACATCTGATTTGAAAATCCAATGGAACCACTGAATATAGTTTCATTCCCATGAAATGATGTGAGTGTTATCAATTAAACACATTCCTGTTCTTTTACTTCATGCTCATTATCTGCTTTTCTGTTTTGAGTCTGTATGCTGGTATTTTTGTTGTTATGAGACGGATAAGAATCAGAATCAGAACAAGTGATTTACTTTAGTCACTCTCGGACATAGGTTTCTCCCAGATGAAGCAAGGAAAAACCTCCTGCAAGGTGCTAACTCAAGCTACCCTAATACGTTGGAGAACAACCTTAATGCTCAATTCAAATGTTGATACCATCCATTTAAGAGAGAGAGATAATGTGTGCAGAGATCCTTCAATGTCTAATTATAAATATTGAACCGAAGTGATTTAAAAAAAATAAAAATAGAAATTCAAGTCTACATTGATTTGTTGATAGTCTGGCAAAGTACAAAGAGTAGAATGTATTAGCCTCATAAAACCCTTACCTAATAAAAACTGTAGCAGAACACTGGAACTAAAAGATACCTCAACCTAAAAGCACCAAGTAGACTGCATCTGTTGTTGGTCTCTTGCTCTACTTAATGCATAATAAAGGAACGAACTTATTCAAATTAGTACTGTATGTGTTTATGAACTCTAGTTTTAGTTTAGAAATACATCCATTATACCACCTCTCTATTGCACTTTATTGTCATATTTTGTATCAATAAAACACACATTCAGGAAAAAAAATAATAAAACACACGCAGTTACATATCTATTTGGTACATATATATCTAATTTACCAAATTTGTTATGTTGGAAAATCTTGAAAAGCAACAAGTATGGTGGACAGTTCTTGAAGATTTGAGCATGTCTATAGACATTAATAGGAATTTAACTAAATGCAAAGAAGTCCGGTTAATGATATTTAAACATAAAATATCTTAATTGTCATAATTTGTGAGGCCCATTGCCTTAGGTGGTCATGAATGAAAACCTTGATGGATGACATCTTATATAATATAATGTAAATGGGTTGTGTTATTGCTATAAATTGATGTTAATAAGTATGCATTTGTTAGATATGATGAAAATCACGAGGAAATAAAAATAATTCCTTTACTAACAATTGCAAATAAAAATCAAGCATAAACTTATGGATTCCCAATTAAAAAATATTATAAATTTTGTATTTATTGGGTATGCCACGGTCTTCAAGAGGCCTTGCGTGGAGGGGATGCTATGTGGGGGGTCTTGCTTGAGACTCTTGGAGGACAGTCCCGCATTGTGTGTGGTGGTGCATTTGGAGAGAGCGGAACAACAGACTATTTGAAGGAAAGAAATCGTCCACGGCGACTCTAAAACTTTTTATTCTTTGCTCCATTTTAAGTTGGGTGAAGGGAAGTTATTGTTCTTCTAATGATGATTTAATAGATTTTTTGGACCTAGGACGCGTTCCCCTTTTGAACGCTTTTTTTTTTTTCTATTCACATTTACTTGTCAAATTATATATATATATATATTATAAATTTTAACCAACATATGAAAAGAATTTTGTTTCCGCAAGTTAAACAATTATTGATCTGTTGAAGTTTTAATGATTACTTAGCTGGTTGATGAATTTAGTTTCCTTTTACTTTGAAAGTCTTGAAGTTAGGCCCGCCAATTTGCCAGCAATTTCGGCCGCCCCGCCCGGCGAATAAAGTTGAAATAAAACTGAAGAACTTCAGATGTTCTATTTTACCTAAATATTGGAGGGATTGATTACATTTAAATCTGTAAATGGAGAAGATCTTATTATTTGGTTTTCTGCAGTAAGTAATTTTGTGGAAGATCTTGCATACAAGTTCCTCTTCTTGAGGTAGATGGATTCGCGAGTTGTCTTTTTGAGGGAGATAGGATCACAAAGTTCGGAGAGGTATTGGATTCAAGCTTGCATTTCTCCCTCTGATTCTGTTTGCTAGTTTGTTTTCACTTTATTTATTTCATTATGTTGTGTATTCATGAGCCAGGTGGGTTCGATTGTGAAGGAAGGTTTAAGAGAACTTGATATACGATGTTGGATTGGCAACTAACAGTGTGAATTCCCCTATCAGCTATGGAGTGGATCTAAACAAAATCGACCATATGAGATCAAGGAATATATGCAGCCAGGGGTTGTTTAGCCCCACCAACAGGAGATTGTGTGTGCCCGGTGTTGGATTATAGGGTGCTCTAGGAAGCCCGACACTACGGGCAAAATTTTTTTTGTAGTGTTCTAAACAAGACAGAATAGTTGGGATGAGATACCTGGTCTAAGTCACACAATCCATTCTCAATGGAGCAAGTCTTTGCTACAGGACATTTGAATATTAGGGGACTAAACTACCATCAGAATAGTTGCTGCTGACTCCATTTATTAAAAAAGGGGTTTATTGTCACATTATTTATAAACTGCCACTTAAAGCGCTTCCTAGTTACTAACATGCGCCATTTTTTGTTGAAAACATATTTACAAAATTATTTTGAATTCCATTTTTTTTTTTTCCTAGTTGGGATTCACAAACACTGCCTCCGCTGAGGTTCGAGCTCCTGACTTCCCTTTGGAAAATAGGAGTCTTGGATCGTTAGGTCATAAGCCTGTTGGTAATTTCATTTTAGTTAGAGTGTGCTTTTCTAAAGAAAATCTCAAAAATATATTTTCCCCAAGTTTTCTAAAAGATAACAAGGAATGAATGTTAAATACAAAATTTATTTAATTCCAAATCCACCATACTAATAATGAATCAGCGTTATTTATGTTTTTCCAAATTCCCAACATTTATTATTAAAAAAATAAAAGATAATAAGAAAATTAGTTCCAATTCCCCTTTTTACGAATTATAGTAATCTTTGATTAAAGGGTTTTCAAAATCAACTTGTTAAATCAAAGTTTTTGGGCAAAATGTGTGTGAGTTTGTTTATTATCAATAAAAATATATATATAATTTTTTTTCTCTCTAAAGATTAGTATTCTCTAAATTTGATTGAAAGGTGATCTAACTAGCTTAAATCCAAAAAAATTTCCTTTCTAGTTTCTACATAAGGCTCTACTTAAACTTTTTTTTTTTATTTGTTGAAATAAATCTAATTTTCAATTCACAGTCTTTCATTTTTTCACTTTTCACACTTGAATTGTATTTGATCAAAACTCAAACGCCTCATTGAATATAAGAGCATCCGGTTGGCTTGGCTGACTAGCATTTAAAGTGGCCAGTGCAAACCATTTTTATTACTCTATTGGTTCTAAAATAAGTGTCACGTTTAAGAATATATAATGATTATTTTTATTATATTAGTAACGAATGAAATTTTAAATTTATCAAGTTGATCTAGAGTAATGTGATGGTTTACTTTTATATATTTAAGATTTTTTGTTTTTTTTTTTGGACTTAGCAAGATAGTTAGTGCGGAGTAGGAAGAAGGAAATTCAAACCTAGGATCATAGGGTGGGGGTACTTAAGGCCTGACCCTTTTATCACTCCACTCAGGTAACACCGTCACACCTCAATGTAAGAAGATTAAATTAGTTATATTACAAAAAATAGTACAGTAACTTTTCAAATGGGAAACTTATTTTGAATCAAATAAAAATAAAAATGCAGACACTTATTTTGAAACAAGAAAGTATTTTTTTTATTAAAGAGGGATTTGAGAGATGACAAAGATAGGGATTTATGAAACATTGGGTCCATTGGTTGGCTACACCACTACCCGAGGAATTTAATGGTTAACATGGTCTGTGGCGAGCTCCATATAAACGTCCTTGACTCGAGAAAGTATTGAGTGCGTCCGGCGTACCATGCATCAGGCTAATCCGAATCGTTTGTATTATGAATACGTAAGTACATATTATACACATACGACTCGAATGAGCTGGTGCACCGTACACCCGATATACCCAATATCCCAAAATAAATCACACATGCTCCAAGTTTGTTTTTGGTAGAAACAAAATGACAGTACAGGAGGAAGGGTTATAAATAGTCATTTGATAGTCATGTCCATTTTTTTTTTTTTTTCTTTTTTCTTTTTTCTTTTTTCTTTTTCAAAGAAGTTATCTTTGAAAATATTACTGTACTATTGAGGTTTTACATACAAATTTAGTATGGTACATGAAGTTTTCCAGCAATTAACTCTAATAAAAATGCCTGTAAAATGATAAGGTTGAAATTTAAACATTTTTTTTTGGTCACATAGCGTACTCATTTTATGTCTCTCACCATATCGACTCTTACAGTAATTTTTACCAAATATATTTTCGGTGAAGGTTTGTGTAATTTTTGAAACCATACATTAAATCTCTCTAATTTTACAAAAACCTCCACCGATTTCTCTGTAATTTTACCCTTTTCACATCCCCTGATTTTGTCGGCTTCTCCTCTCTCTCTCAATTCAAATCTTCATTGATCAAAACCCTAACCCGCACTTTTGTCTGTCAACGGTCGAATTCGTAAACGGCCACTTGTCTCTCCTCTGATTGTCTATTCTTCGTTCTCATCTAATTCAAACCTTGTGACCTCTCAACATCTCTCTCGTTGCATTGTCACATTGAATTATTGTGATAATTTACTCTTTCCTGGACGCAGTTGCGACATCGCTTTCTCAGGTTTGTTTTCCTGGTTTCTGATTGGTTCAATTCATTTATTCCTAATGATGTGTTTTTGATTGCCGAGAAAAGGAAAATAGAAGAAAATGACTAATTGAAGTCTTTTTAAAAATTTCCACTGTTTGAATCTCTAGAAATAATCAAACCAATTTCGTAATTACGGGTGATTTTTTTTTGTTTTTGTTTTTTTCGTTTTTTTTTTTTTAAAACCAAATGAGGGAAAATGTTGGACTTCAAAGAAATCTGCATTTTTCACAGCAATCAAACAATTCCTTTCTGTGTTTTTTTTTTTCCCAGCCCTTTATACATTTGGTTAATACTCCATGTTTTGATTAATTGAGATGTATTTGTTGTATTCCAATAACTTAATCTCCAGTCCGAATTTAATTAAAGGTGTTTCTAGGATTTTGTTTTGGCAAAGCTAGATTGAGGTATGCAAAAGTGGAATTATCCCAAATTTAATTTTGTACTAATGGTGTGTCGATTTAGGTATGTAGGGTTTTGTTTTGGTAAAGCTAGATTGAGGTGTACGAAAATGAAATTAGCCCAAATTTAGTGTAGTACAAGTGGTGTGTTCGATTGAGGTACGTGAAAGGGAAATTAACCCAAATTTCATTTGGTAAAAGTGCTTTGTTAATTCATGTTAATATTACTCATGACAAAGTTTTACGCCGGCTGTCAAGCTACCTAACGCAACACTCCTCCTTTATCTGGGCTTGGGACCGGCTATGTAAAGAACACAGGCGGAGTTAAATTGATTACTTTTTAACTAGAAAGGTAGATATATTAACAAACAAAGATTGTAAGGTTATACTCCTAGAGAGAGTCTAACATCACAGCATAGGCTTCTTGTTTTAGATTTATGTATAAAAGGAAAACCTGAAAGGAGAAAGAAACCATAAACCAAGGACTAGGTGGTGGAATTTAAGAGGGGAGAAAGTGGAATTATTAAAAGGAGGATGCTAAAAGAAGCAACATGGAATGTAGAAGATGAAATGAACTTAATGTGTAATAAGATGACTACATCTGTTAAAAGAGTAGCAAAAGAAGATAAAAAGGAATGGGACAATTATTTAAAGAAACTTGGTGGTGTAATGAACTAGTCCAAAAGTAGTAAAAACAAATCTGGAATGCTATAAATTTTGGCGAAAAACTAAAAATAGTGAAACCTTTGACAAATATAAAAAAGTAAATAAAGAAGTTAAGAAAGTAGTAAGTGAGGCCAAACGTAGAGCATAGGACAATTTCTATTCTACACTAGGCACAAAAGATGGGGAGAAGAATATATATAAACTTGCTAAGCTAAGGGAGAGGAAAACTAGAGATTTTAGCCATACTAAATATGCTACGAGTGAAGATTCATGTATTTTAGTAAAAAAAGATGATATTAAGGAAAGATGAAAATTTTGAGAAATTGCTAAATGAAAACCATATAGGAAGTTTAAGCTTAGAAGGATATGTTAGAGATAACGTATTTTTTTGTAGGGTCGAGGAGTGGGAGGTTAGGAATACCTAAAGGAAGATGAAATTGGGGAGGGCTTTAGGACTTGATGGCATTCCTATCTGTAGAAGTGTCTAGGAGAAGTTGGCTTGTCTTGGTTAACATAATTGTTTATTAAGATAATAACAACTAAGAGAATGTTCGATGAGTGGCGCCAAAGTATTCCAGTACCTATATATAAAAATCAAGGGGACGTATAAAGACTTAGTAAATTAATGTATCACACTAAGAAACTTTGGGAGAGAGTAATTGAACAACGCCTAAGATAAAAGACGGAAGTGCCGGAGAATGAACTTAGATTCATGTCGGGTAGGTGAACGATGGAGGCTATTTACTTCTTGAGGAGACTAATGGAAAGATATGTAGAGAAGAAGAGAGATCTCAATATGGTTTTTATTGATTTGGAGAAAGCCTATGATTGGGTACCTAGTGACCTAATGTATCGGGTCGGGTGCTTCGTGGTCCAACCCAAAAGCTTAAGCTATTAGGTGGTGTTAACACCCAACCCATATATCCCATTTCACTTCCCATCTAGATCCGATGTGGGACAAGGCTCCCTTGTAACATTTTTCCCCCACTCGAACTCTCAACGCCCTCATTGTAGTCAGGCCACCTTGCCTACCTAGTTGTTGACCCGAACACCACCCGAGCGGTCGCTTGGCCTCACACCGAATCAAGACTAGGTTTGAATCTAATATCAACTGTAATGGGCCTGGTGCTTCGTGGTCGCACCCAAAAGCTTAAGCTATTAGGTGGTGCTAACACCCAACCCATATATACCCATTTCATTTCCCAATCCGGATCCGATGTGGGACAAGGCCCCCTTATAACACCTAATATGGAGGGTTTTAGTGAGAGAGAGAGAGAGATACAACAACTTCATGTAAATGGGGTGTTCACAATTATAAATTTATGCGTAAAATGTAAACTATCTATACCCCTCATTGGCATAGCTTTTAATGATGAAGTATTTTTCTTATGTTATGGAAGCTTGAAATAAGGTTTGGAAATGTTTATCTGTTAACAGGCATAATTGTCATCTGCAGAACTAAGTAAAAGAGGAATTGAAATTCCCAGAACATAAAAAAACAATTACTAATTGATCTTGATATAGCTATGTAAAATTTATATAGAATGTAACATATGTAGCTAGACAGTTCCATCAGAAAATAAATACGGCTACTATTTTATGGAAGGAAAATGATTCTCTCACTGAATTGGTGAGGGGTTCCACTATAGTGCATCTGATGGATGACAAAATTTCGGACCATGATTGGGCTCACCAATTCAGTGGTTTGTGAAAAACACTAGGATCATTACTTCTCATTTTTATGTCAACTCCCCAAAATGACAATCAATTCTCTCGTTCTAAAAACCTTTGTGAAATCAAATGGGTCATTTTTGTGGTATGATTTTTTAAAGAATATCTGTTAGTAAAAAATTGAACATATTAATATTCTAAGGTTTTGATTGTACTCTACCTTCAATCCAGTGTTATACTATCTATTTGCTGCATATAGTTTAGGATGTCTGACACAGACATTTGTTCTTGGCAGGTGCAATTGTTTCAAAATGTCTAATCTTCGGAAGGATCCACTTTTGCAAGTGGAAACAATGTGTAATTCTCTTCTATACGAACTCCAGGTTTTTCCACGATCCTTCTATTTGTTATTTGTTAGTGATTTGTTTCTTGTTCCTTTGATATTTTCCATGTCCAAACATTTTGTTGAATGTCTTCACTCTACCCTTACATTGACAGCAACTTCATTATCCTGATTTTTTGGTAAAATCAGATAATATGGGATGAAGTTGGGGAGACTGATGCAGAAAGGGACAAAATGCTGCTTGAGATCGAACAAGAGTGTCTAGAAGTATACAGAAGAAAGGTAGATCAGGTGAACCGATGTAGAGCTCAGCTCAGACAGGAAATTGCTGATTCTGAAGCAGAACTCACTGCCATTTGTTCTGCAATGGGGGAGCGACCTGTACAAATTAGGCAGGTCAGGTTGGTTGGAAGTAATATAATTTCTGGTTGAAAGTGGATTTGATTTTACAGTATTTGGGCAACATGTTCAAATTTCTTGTTGAAGTCGACTACAGTTTTTAAAAATTGTCAAAATCTATGATACAGTATGCATGGGAATTGGTATTGTAATTGTGGGAAAAAAAAAGTTAGATCATGGCATTACTTCGCAGTCATTATTTGTTAGAGTTGAACCAATATAATACTCGGTGTGAGTATGAGGTGTGAAACCAATATAATACGATGCTAGTTGCTGCCATGGCCTATTGTAATAAAAGCTAACCACCTGTACCAGACAAAGACAATATGAGTAAGTGAATAAATTGATAAATAGCTGAGTTTTAAACTAACCATAAAGTAATGAGTTACAGAATTAGAAAATAATTAACTAGGTTCAAACCATGATCTTGACCCAATCTCTGACCTAGGAAGTATGAAACTGGTTTTGTAGTTCATGCTTTTTTTCTTTCTCTTCTTCAGTCTGATCAAAATCCTGGAAGCCTGAAGAAAGAGATCAGAACAATTCTTTCACAACTAGAGGAGATGCGGAAGAGGAAATGTGAAAGAAGGAATCAATTCCTTGAAGTTCTAGAGCAAATACAGAAGATATCGGATGAGCTACATCGGCCTTCTGAATATACTCCTTCCAATACAATTGTGGATGAAACTGACTTGTCTTTAAGAAAGCTAGAAGAATTGCACAGAGAGCTGCAGGCACTTCACAAAGAAAAGGTGATCATTTTATTTTTGACCGGAGTCAATATCATCTACTCCAAACGCTCTTTCTTCTCTTTAAGATTCTTCTCTGACTTGCTTTTCTAAATGTTTCTCTACATTCAGAGTGATCGCCTGAAACAGGTTTTGAACCACCATAATACTTTGAACTCACTGTGCTTGGTGCTTGGTATGGATTTCAAGCAAACTATCAATGAGGTTCATCCCAGTTTAGGTGATTCTGAAGGATCGAAGAACATAAGTAATGATATGATTGATCAGTTGGCAACTACAATACAAAGATTGCGAGATGTTAAAGTACAGAGGATGCAGCGGGTAAATAATTGTTAAAATTAGTTTCCAGTTACTTTAACATCTTATTCTTTTCTTCTTTATATATAATTAATTTAATTTAGTTTTTTTTTTACCGTGGACCTTATTAACCTTTCAAACTATGGCAGCTCCAAGATCTTGCAACTTCCATGTTGGAACTATGGAATTTGATGGACACACCGGTTGAAGAGCAACAGATGTTTCAGAATGTTACCTGTAATATAGCTGCCTCAGAACATGAGATAACAGAGCCTGACATGCTTTCTTTGGATTTCATCAATTATGTGAGTTATGATGTCTTTTTAAATAGGTTGTTTTGATTGCTGTCTGCCTACTTCTCACAATATTTATTTCTGCTAGGAGCAGAAAGATATGTTTTTGGAATTAAAAGAGAAAAAAAATTTATCATGCAGGTTGAGGCAGAGGTGTCTCGGCTGGAAGAGTTGAAAGCAAGCAAAATGAAAGAGCTTGTTTTGAAGAAGAGGTCAGAGCTAGAAGAGATTTTTAGGAAGACACGTATGATTCCGGAATCGGATGGTGCAATCGAAATTGCTATTGAAGCTATTGAATCTGGTATAGAGCTTATATACAAGAGAAGACATAGAATAAAATCTGTACGACATCATTAATTTCATCTGTAATTATTATTATTTTTTTAATTCAGGAACTGTAGATCCTGCCTGTGTCCTTGAACAAATCGAGCTTCAAATTGCCAAAGTTAAGGAGGAAGCCTTTAGCAGGAAAGAAATTCTTGAAAAAGTTGAGAAATGGTTGGCTGCATCCGAAGAGGAGAATTGGCTTGAGGAGTATAACAGGGTTGATATTTTCTTTTCCTTTTTTTTTTTTTTTTTTTTTTTTTTGCTTTGGTTAATTCTTAGTTTAGTTGTGTGTGCATCCCCTTGCTTAACTGCTATCTGTAATGGTTATTCAGGATGAAAACCGATACAATGCTGGAAGAGGTGCTCATCTTATTTTGAAGCGTGCCGAGAAAGCTCGTGCTTTGGTTAATAAACTTCCAGGTATAGGTTATATCATGTGGGTTGGAAGCCATTATTTGGTGGTCTCAGTTCAAGATATAAACATCGTAGTTGCAAGTTGTGATCCTTAGGGGTCTATAGACAGATGTATTTGTCAGAATTTAGTAATCAAACTATAAACTTGCTGCTTTCAGTGACATTGTGATATTAATTTAATTAATTTTTTTTATTTGTATCATGTTGGGATAGGAATGGTCGAGGCATTGACTTCAAAAACGACAGCATGGGAGAAAGAGAGAGGCACTGAATTCACTTATGATGGCGTAAGATTTTCCCTATTATCTGTGTTAATTTTTGAGTTTGTACTAAGTTGGTCCATTTTATTATGTGCCCTTAGTTACTTTGTTAATAAACTGTATCTGAACTGTGTCTTGTTATCTTCCGTTGTCCAGATTCGTCTTCTTTCTATGCTTGAAGAGTATTCTAATTTACGTCAACAGAAAGAGCAAGAAAGAAAGTGGAGAAGGGTATGGACCTCCAGTTTACTCAATCAATTGAACTTGTATGGGCGCTTTCATATCCAAATATCGTCAGTTATGAAGTGCAAAATTAATTGATCTATTTCAGGACCAGAAGAAACTTCAAGGACAGTTAATAGCAGAACAGGAGATACTCTTTGGGTCAAAACCAACTAGTCCTTTGAAGCACCAGAGTGGGAAAAAAGGTTCTAAATTGTCGAGTGTTGAAACAAGCAACAAAAATCATTCCCTTGGAGTACCAATGCCACGAACTCCCAAAGGTACTCCAAGAACGCCGCGTCTAGCCAAGAAGAATGATCGTTTGTTCCAAAACTACCAGTTAAATCACCAACAGGATGATGGATTTGAAACCTCGTCAGACAGTAAGTTTTATTAAACAAATGTATATGTCTATACAATTCTACGTATATATGTTGTTCATGTTGCGGAGAAGTTGGGATGCTCCTTTTGATTAGTTACTGCCTCATAAGAACTAGGTGAATTTGTTTCTCTCATTTGGTTGGAGATGAGACCATCTCATTAAAACACTATTTAAGCTTATTACTCGCATGAATTTACCACAAAACAACTTTTTAAAGAAAATAGATTTATGTTTCTTCAAAATTGTGTTTTAGTAGCTCATTTTGAATAGAAATTGTATTTTAGGAACATTACAGAAACAGTCTTAATATTTAAATTTGATGCACTTCAATGCTGAGTTGGGCATTTCTAAAAACAACTATGCCTATTGTCGAGTGTTTTCATTTCTATTCAGTGTTTTATGTAGGCAGGGAGAGGCTTGGGTATTGCTATTCTTATGTCTTAATTATCGTGTTTTTGTTTCACGAGAAAATGTACAAATATCACTAAAATAGTTGCGTTTTATGCATTTGGTCAGCTACAACAGATGTTGGGTTCTCCCGGCTGATATTGGTTCTTTGTTTCACTGGTTCATTTAGGTAGAAGAGGGTTTGATATTCACTTTTTTTCATGCAGTAAGTGCCAATGAAGTAGAGTCAACAAGGAGGCCTTTCTCGCCCATCCCTTCCACAGAATCGGAGACAGACGCGACAAACTTGTTGGAAGATCTGAATAGAAAACACAATGGGATGTCACAGAAACCACTTCCAAGCATTAAATTCACTACTCCTTCCAAGACAATTTCTGCCGAAGAGGAAGAGAACATGACTCCTAGAACAATTCCGATTTCTTTACCCTCTACACCTTCAACAGTGTCAGTTTCAATGCAGACGGCCATGACCCCAGCTCCTCCTCAAGAGGAAGATATTGAATACTCGTTTGAGGAAAAGAGAGCTGGTTTCGTGCTTCCTAGCACACGTTTAAAGAAAGGAATACAAGTTTGATTTACTAGGGAGGTTGGGTGATCTTTAATCTCAAGTTTGTTGTTAATGCATTTTTTTTTTCTTTCATTTACAGGATTCGTGATTAAGTCAATTCCTTAAAGAGAAGTGATAGATCTTTCGATTTCAATTGCCGACTACTCCTCCGAATATAACGTGGTTGGGAATGAGTCGAAGAGAAAGAGATGTTTACGGAATTTTTTTTAAGAGTTTCAATGGGATCCAACCACGTTGTATTTGGAGGAAGAGTCGACAATTAACGTCGAAAGTCTTATCATTTTTCTTCCTTAAATGGCTTCTCTAATGTGTAAATAATATAGTCTTCAACACCAAATGCATACTGGGATTTTGAAATTGTTCTTACATTCATAAATATGAGTTTGTCTTTTAAGTTTTGATGGATTATGTGGGAAGTCATTCTGTTGCAGGTACTATTAAGACCCTAGTGGTTGATTTGCGTGATGTTGTGGCCTGAATTTGGCACGACCCGTTTATGTTTCAGTGAAAATTTTGACCCTTTTTTATTTGCGAGTTGTGAACCTTATTTAATATTATCTTATAATCTGAAATGTAAAAGCGTTTAGGGTTTGAAATAAAAGATAGAAAGACATTGAAAGTCGTAAAAAAACAGAAAAGAACAAGATCTAAGTTTGAGAGTTAAAACTTGTAATCTTTGCATATTGAATTCTTTTATATTTCTTGACTTGTTATTAGTCCACGTAATCTGTAGCAGTTTGTTCAAACAACCAACAAGTTCTTATTGTAGTCAATGGGTCTCTAAATTCTAATTTTGGCGACAAACACTATGTGGCTGGTAAATTATTGGAGGATGTAATTTTGGGTCCAAATATTCTTTGGATAGTTTCTGTGTACTAATTGCAATGTGTAGGCGTAGACCCTACTGTGTAGGCACAGACCCTTTTATTTATTTATTGTTTTATTGTTTTTTATTGGTGCAGATGCTTCTCCTTCGGTGTTTCTTTACAAGTTTGGTTTCTCTTCATCCCCACCAACTTAATAATTTCCAGGGATATGAATCCATTTGAGGGGCAAAATAGATCAAGACTTTTGTCCTAGAAAGATAAATGGGTTGACTCCATTTGAGGGGCAAAATAGATCAAGATTTTTGTCCTAGAAAGATAAATGGATTGATTTTTTATTGGGTAAATTGCACTGATATCCCAATTTGTATTAACCTCCTCTTATCTTTCATGCATATAGATGTACTTAGTTTTTATATAATAATATATTACTATAACCACCACCGCAACATATAAATAGCTAGCCATATGCACACCACCACACTCAAAGACCACAGTAAAAAAAAAAAAAAAAAAAAAAAAAAATTATAAAACAGCCATGAACAATCCATACTTGTACCTCCCAAACGCCACCAGAACTACCATCATACCAAGACATCACCACCACCACCACACTAAGACGACAAGCAAGATTACACCACCAATACATCCAAATTGTACCAGAACCACCACCACCATAATAGAAAAAATAAAAATACAAATTTTGAAACATCTTGATAACCTAGACACCACTATAACTACCGCAACCACACCCAAACAACATCACAACAACCACCACTAGAGGAAAAAAAAAAATTAAAAATAGCTATGGCCAGCTCAGACCCACCATAACAGAAAAAAAAGTAACATGTCCAAGATCGGGAAGAGAGAGAGGGAGTGTCGACGGCTAGGTACTAAAATGAACCAAAAAAAAAAAAAAAAGGTTAAAGATTATAGAAGAGAAAGATGCTTAATGATGAGGGTAGTCTGGGCTTATATTTTGTAATTTAATTGAATTAAATAATTATAGGCAAATATGATATTTGAAACCACATGAAGTGTCATTGTTAAAAAAGTTATTGACTCGTATCTGAGTGACATTGATCGAAACTTTATGGAATGTCAATGCAATTTATCCTTTTTTATTTTTTCTAAAATTATTATTATTATTTTGTTTGTTTGAGACGACTTAATTAAACGGCTAGAGTTTGGATGTAAAAAAGGAGAAAAAAAGAAGAGTAATAAGACAAAGAAAAGAAGAAATAAAAGCAACCCAATATTGAATGTGTCAAAGTCCTGTTGTAATGGGCCTAAGTTGCACCAGCATATATTTCTATCTTTATAACTTGATCACTATTTGAATAGGACCACACCACTCTACATGTGAGTTGAGTTTTGTTTTAAACTTGCTTCATAATGAAACAAAAGTGGTTAAAATTGATTTTCAAAACACGTTCTTGTTAAGTATTAGGCTCCATTTTGGGTTAAATGATTTGGAGGGAAATGGATAAAAAAGGAAACGAAGGATTTGAAAAGAAGAAAAAAGAAAAGAAAAGAAAAGGATATGGAAAAAATAGAAAACCAAGGATTTGAAAAGATAAAAAAAAACAGAAAAAACAAAGAAGGGATAGTGTGAGGTTTGTTTACGTTGTCTTAAATGGCGAGAAAAGAAAAGATTTATAGAGAAAAAGCATTGGGTTAAGTAATACTTTTGTAATTCTAAAATTACCCTCAAGTTAAGACACATAAATCGAGAAAAGAAAAAAAAGCGAATTCGAGAGCAGGAGCGTAAGAGCGATACAATTAAGTTATAAGTGGGGAGAATTTGAGCGAGAACACGCGCAGAGCGTGAGAGCGAGAGCGTGCTCAGAACGTAAGAGTAACACATGTTGAGAAGGATTGTGTGGCTTAACCCTCAACAATTAAAAAAAAAAAAAATTTGTTATGATATTTGACTCCAACCTTATAAAATAAATATAATAAGAACACCATTTAATTTTTTTCTTCTATCAACGTTTTTGAAAATAAGAACACCATTATTTCCTTTGTGTTCGTTCGTTCTTCTAAGAGTTCAGTTTTGGTTGCTTATCTAATTGACTAGGTCAAGCAGAGCAGAATTTTGAACTTGATATATGATGCAATGTTTAATTAGAGTTCAATAAATGCTTGGGAATATAAATAGCACATTATTAATTTTTTCAAACTTTACTGTGGCACAAACAGTAATTTCCGGAAAATGGCAGGGTCAAATGTGGTCAAACACTAATTTACCTGAAAAGACAAAGAACAGGTCAGAGGTTGGAAAATTGGCATGGCTCTAACGTTACCTTTACAGCTTTTAATAAAGAATTTGCAATTTAAAAATAAAAAGGAATTTTCTTTTCATAAATTTCCCTATTATTATAATCGAATTTATTAAGCTTTGCCATTTATTAATTCCCTTTTATTAAATTTCCAAGACGGACTTGAAACCATTTCCTTAACCAAAATCTATACTTTGAATTTTGTAATTTAAAATATTAATTATTTATTTAATTCCCAATTTTTTAATTCTGTTTTCAGTTTTTTATTTATTTTTCTTTTTCTACTTTATTTTCCTTCTGTCCTTCTTTTCCCCCAAAACCCTAATTTCGTAACCTTGAACAATTTCTGAAAAACCAAACAAAAATTAGCATTTATTTTTTTCTGAATTTTTGAAAAATCAAGTGTAACCATTGAAGCTCTGTGCTTGGTCTGCAATGGCAGAGACTCAGCCGTAGAATATTGTTACAGTGTATATTTAACTGTAGAAGTTTTTACAGTCAAAATTTGTTCTTTGAAGATTCAAGGAAGGGTCTAGGGTTTTGGGTTCGTTAAATTTGTAGTGGGTATTCTGTAATCTTTCTAGGGTTTTGATCTTGTGTTTGTGCTCTTTACGAAGATTTCATTTTCCTTGAAATTTGTACTATACAACTGTTCTTTGGAAATTCTGGGTTTTTCACTTTCAAAAAGGTTAAATTTTTTTTTTTTTTTTCATCAGCAGGTTTTAGGTCTGTAGTGTTGATAGTGATTTTCTGGATTTAGGGTTTAAGGGTTTGGTTTTTTTTTTTCTGCTTTGGGTTTATGAATGGAGGGAAAAGAAGAAATGAACAATTCTGGGGTCACTATGAAGGGGGAGGAAGCTGCAGAGAGCTACCGGGTGGTTGCCAGAAGTGAAACCACCGGCCAATTTGGCGGATCCGCGGTGGCTGCAACGCCAGTTAGCGTGGCCGTGCCGGTTCCGGGCACGGAGGTGAAGAAGAAGAGGGGTAGGCCAAGGAAGTATGGACCAGATGGGAAACCCACCATGGCTTTGTCCCCGATGCCGATTTCAGCTTCGATTCCGCTGACCGGAGACTTTTCGGCTTGGAATCATGGCAGAGGACGGTCAGTTGACTCATTCAAGAAGAAGCACAAATTGGACTTCGAGAGACCAGGTAATGATACAATTCCTATTATATCATCCATTTGTATTTTAGTTAATGTTTATCTTTTGGTTTACTGTTATATCTAGGGTCATGAATCTGTTACTAAAATTAGATTCATAGTTGTCTGAGATTCTCATACAAATTATTGATGGTTGAAAATCTTTATGTGAAGCTAGATCTGCTGATCTGGTTTTGCCTTTTGGTTCAAGTCTTGGAATGGAGCCTAAGAGTTAAATTTGATGTGAGAGTGGGACCCTTTTTTTCTCATATACCCTCCAGATCTGGAGTTAATGGTAGTTATGAGATAGAAGCAGATTCATGATGCTGGTGTAGGTTGAGGGAATCCTTATCTTGAATCTGAAGCTACTCATCTTTTGTGGAGGAGAACGAGCAAGATGCTATAAGAAAACAAAGTGTAAAAACTGTTAAAAATTGCCAGCTTGTTTATGTTGATTTTACCGGACAGAAATCTGTCTTCACCCAGTGATTGCATAAGAGAGAAGAGGCAAAGTAAGAATAAAGAAAATGAGTGAGTAATGATAAGGAGGAAACTGATATAACATGTGTGGATCTGGTGATGACACACAGTACAGTGGAATATTCCCTTACCTTGGGAAAGGATAGAATCGACTCAATATTGAATAGATTTTTTTTTTTTGATAAATAATGTCGAATAGAATTGGTATGCAGTTGCAAGATAAATCTTACTTCATCGAAATTCACTATTTCATTGTACTTAAAGAAGACCTAGAATGCAACGGTAGATATCAGCCCCCCACCCCCTTTTTTTTTCCAAAAAAAAAAAAAAATTCTTCTGAAGTCATGAAGGTTCTTGTATGATTCTCCAATCAAAAGTCAAACCAAAAAGGTATTCCTGGTTCAATAGTCAATTTTCGGCAACGCTTAAAGTAAAGAATGTTGATATGTTTCAACAACGCGTGAAGTTCATTTGATGCAGTTGGTTATTAAATTTTATGATGTGATGGAAGAGATGAATTGAATTTCTTAATGAGTAGAAGATCATGTCATGTTGGAATTATCATCTGAAAGTGACAGAGAATGAAACTTTTGAGTCTTGTAGGACCTTTATTGTTTTGTATTCAGGAACTATTATGAAAATATCTGGAAGGGAAAGGAGCTTATGATATTTGCCTTAATGACAAAGCTCAAATCAGAAATAGAACTCATCAAATGAACTTACTTCAAAAACCTAATGCAGAGATTATCAGCTCTTTGGCGCTTTTATTCTGCAGGCACCAAAATGCCAACTTCTGAATTGCTCTTTCTGTGGGAGGTGAGGAGAGAGAAGTAATGTGACAAGATACTGAATTCTTGTCTCCTTCATGGTTGTAGACACATTGGCTAAATTAAATAAATCTTGCTGTGATTGTGAACTTGCTTGATTTATTTACTGCCTTCTCTAGTAAGATATGTGGTTTCCTTTTCTAGTTCTGAGATAATTATTGTTATTCCTTTTTGTAATTACCTCTGTTATATGGAATCTTCAAAAGTAGTGAAGTACCGTGTCGGACACGTGTCCCTTGGACATGGGTATGGGATATGTGTCCGATACTTTTGGTTGGACATGTACTTAAATAGCATATCATATCATTTAATTACATTATATTATTACTTTAAAATGAGTTAAATGCCTATATTGAACATTATATTAGATAAAAACATTACCTTACTCTAGAAAATAAAATAAAATAATTAATAAAATGAATATTTAGCCGTGTCCGTGTGTCCTTCTGTTTGGAGATTTGACACGTCAGACGCATGTATACATACCTGTGTCCGACACCCGTACCCGAGTCCATGTAACATAGGTAATTACACAATTTCGATGGAAATTGGAAAGTTTCATTTGAACACCTGAGTTATTTAAAATTTTCATTTTGTAGGCGATCGGGTTGCATACTCTGTTGGTGCAAATTTCACGCCCCATGTGATCACTGTTAATGCTGGCGAGGTATTTCTGTCACTCAAGAAACTCTTTTCATTTTTCATTTTTCTTTTTTTTTTTCCTGTTCTGTCATATTGTAATTCTGAACTCTGTTCTTATCAACTGGTTTCTTTTCTTGACCTTATTTATGGTTGATATTTGTTTCAAGTAGATGAGAGTTTGATTTTAATAAAGGAGATCACTTAAACAAGGAAAATTGCAACAATTACTAACATGTTCAAGGCAAATATTCATTTTAAAAAATATAAAATAGAAGAGAGACTTAATGAGTCTTGCATTAAATAAAATCTTAGTTTCTTGTGCGAGAGATGAAAATTTTGACATGAGTGAGCTGTTGTTTGCCTTTCCATAAGTTGACAATTGTTCAGTTATCCTTTTTTGTAACTACATCACTGTGTATAAGATGAAGTCATATGCAGCAGTACTGATAAAAGAATGTTTACATGGGAAATGGATTAACAATTTCAGAAGTCTTATGTTTGATGCCACTGAGGTAAACGATACTAGTGATCTTATTGTGTATAGCTCACCGTTAAAAACAATGTGGTGACAAGCTTGTAACTAAATATTCTGGGAGTCTGGGACAGCCCAATCGACCAAAACCACCTACGATTTGTAAAGTTTTTGAAATTGTATGTGCGGAGTTGCTTGATTGGGATATGGCCAAATTTTTTATTAACAAGATGGTTACCGCCTCAGTGCTTTGCATAAAAGATAATAAAAAAGTAAACTTACAATGTTTTAGATAAAATACATACTTATTTCTTTTTTTTATTGATTTTGAATTTCAAATGCATTGTAATGCCTTTTGATTTAGATGTATAAGTTGTATGGAATGGGAAAACAGTAGTCTTATTTATTAACCAAGATATGTAGAACAACTACTATTTAGTAATAATTTCTACAATATTCTTAGCACCTATGAGGCTATGACTGACTATCATGTTGGTTTTTCATATCACTAGCATACCCTTAGGCCTTACGTCTTTAAACTAATTTGTACACTCAAAAAGTTCAGGATCTGAAAAAAATGCAGTTATGTTTTTGCATATTTGGGGTTGCATTTTATTGTGAAAATGACAATGTAAAGTTAATATTTCTTTATTGGTTGATAATTTTATGCAACGAACATACATATTATTGTTATATTAATGCCAGTAATTTGTCAGTAGCTTACAAAAGACTACTTAGTGTTTAATTCATACTCTTCGCTATAGACTGCCCATACAAATATGGTTGTCACCATAGCCAAGATTATGGAGAATTGGCATATCCTGCACCTAAGATCAACGTTAGCTGTTGGCACTTGTGTTGCTGTGAGCATGTTGAGTAAATTATAGAATTAAATTTACAAATGCAGTAGCAAGAAGAATAACAACTAGAAAAGATGACTGCACATGCATTACATTTTTAATGGTTTCTTAAGAATGATTATCGATCCTCATCTTAACAATGTACAGCTATTAGTCTCTGAGTGTTTCAGCCTTTTTGGTTGTTTTTAGGATGTTACAATGAAGATCATATCATTTTCTCAACAAGGGTCGAGAGCTATTTGCATTCTTGCCGCAAATGGTGCAATTTCAAATGTTACACTTCGCCAGCCTAATTCTTCTGGCGGTACTTTAACCTATGAGGTTTGAACCTTTTTTTTTTTAGCGGTACTTTAACCTATGAGGTTTGAACCTTTTTTTTTTTAATCTCTATTTTAATTGCCCTTTAATTATTTGGCTTGCATGCAATTTCTAAAGGAAGGCAAATATGCGCTGTATGACAGCGCAGTTTTATGTTTTCTTGGTGTACTTTTATTTATTCTATTAATTCTCTTTCATCTAACAAAGGTACTCCCTCCGTCCCAATTTAAGTGTTGCTTTTGGGGAGTAGTAATTTTTAAGGGGACATGTGGGACATGCATTGTCTCCCTGGAAAGTTACTAACTTGCCCTTTTAAGTTTTGAAATTTAAGTTTAAAATTTTGAACTCAAAGAACATATATGGAAAGATGTTAAATATATTGTTTGAAAAAGGAAAGTGGACAATTATTTTGGGACAGACCAAAAAGGAAAATATGACACTTTTTTTGGGACAGAGGGAGTATTTGATAGTGCTGGATTTTCTTCATTTTTTCAGTGGTTATGCTTTTTAAAGTAAAACCGTTGCATTACTGGCATGCACTTTGTTGTACATCTAAGGTGTGGAGTTTTAAGAATGCTTCCGAGTATTGTTTTTCTGTTCATTTTTTTCTTCTGTCTATGAGGGATGCTTCTTTCTAAGAGGTCATGAAGAGTCATAAAAAAGAATTAAGGGAAAAAAAACACACACTTTTTTCTGTGGAGCCTGTGTGTACTTTCTCCTTACTACTTTGGGTATCTTTTCATTGACGATCTAATATTTGATGACCTATTTATGAAATTGTAATTCAAGGCATGAAAAATTGGAAATTTGATCATTGGAAAGGTGATTGACTTAAATTAATTACGTGCTAAATCAGAAGGTAGAGAAGAAAAGTGGGTGATGTCACTGTTTACAAGTTTGGGTGCTTTGCTGACAGAAGGATACAACTGCATGCTGGTTTTTTAGTTTAGCATTCTTAATGTGCCATTTATTTTGTTTTATTTCTAGATTATTCCCTTGACTTTCGTATCTTTAGTATATTCGTCATTTCTTCATAAAATTATGAAGAAATACTTCCATGTGTGGACTCTATGTTTTAAGTTTTCTGAGGTGGTGAAGTCACTGTGTTGGATACATTTATCTCTATTCGACTCCAGTAGTTTATCAGAATTCCTTGTGAATGCACCAAATCTCCATTCCTCCCCAGCATCAGTTTATGTATATTTATGTTTTTCTTCTTGTGTGTCTGTTTTTATTTCATATTTTGGTCAATTATATAGAACTAAGTGATCTGGCGAATATATATTTTATTGTACAGAGGCACTCTCTTAACCTCTGAGTTAACCGTTACACTTGATCCATCATTTTCCTTGTGCTGAGTTCCAACCATCGACATAGGCTGACTTGATATTATTGATGTTACCCTCTATCTTCTGGTTTTATCACCTGAAGGGGCTATCAAGTTTTCTACAATCTTGTTCTTGCAGGGTCGTTTTGAGATACTGTCCTTGTCTGGATCATTTATGCCCACTGACTCTGGAGGAACAAAAAGCAGATCTGGCGGGATGAGTGTCTCTTTGGCGGGACCAGATGGTCGTGTTGTGGGGGGAGGACTTGCTGGTTTACTGGTTGCTGCTGGCCCTGTTCAGGTTAGATTATATTCATTAAATGGAATGGTAAAAAATAAAATTAAAAAATGGCTTTGTCCTGGGGGATTGTATTGCTAGAAATTGGTTGCTAATTAAGATGACTAATTCTTTAATTTTTAACCGTAAGTGATGTTTTATAGATTTTTGAAACATTAATTTTCTGAAATAACACCAAGGGTTGTAGCCCAGTGGTACTTGCTTGCCTTCCAAAGTAGAAGGTCGAGGGTTCAAGTCCCCATAGGTTACGTGGGTGTGTGAGTTTCCTGCCAGGCCAAAAGGGAAAAAAAAAAAAAAAATGAATTTTTTTTTTTTTTTTTTTTTTTTTTCACTTAAAAGGTTTATTCATGCATTTGCTAATTGTGTTCAGACAGCCATGGCTTGCAACAATTTTTTGACCTTTTCGAGTATGTATTAGGTTGTGGTTGGCAGCTTTCTACCAGGCCATCATCAGGAGCAGAAGCCCAAGAAGCAGAAATTTGAGCCTGCACCAGCTTTCACTATTACCCCGAGTAATCTCACCCCTAGAGAAGTAATAGAGGGTTCCTATGGCGGACCAAAGCCGAACCTCACATCTTCTGCTTCCTTCCAGGGAGAGAACATAGCTTCTGTAAACTCCGTGCAAGCTTCAAAGAATTTGGCCACTGAAAATAACATCTCTTTGTCCGGAGGGGAATCTAACGACCACAACCCACCAAATTGTAAGGTTTCTTGCTGATCACACTTGCGCCGTGTATCCTGGTTGTATGCCGGCCATCTTTATAGCAAACTTCGAAGCTTTTAGGCTCACTCCCCCTCGTCTGACCCCTTATATAAACTCGTTAACTATTTATTATCACAGGAAATAGTAGAGGTTAACATCATGCTGGTCTAGAACCAGAACTGTACTTTAGGCACTAGGTTAGGACTTCCCTCCATAGGCTGTTATCATCTTGTGTTGTCTGTTATTGTCCCATTTGTTGTTGTAGAAACCACCTTGTTTGTCATTTGTTCCTGGTTTATCTGTATTTGGAAGATTAAGATTAAGTGGACCGTGTTTTTTTGTTTTATTTATTTATTTTATCATCAATGAATGATCTGTCTGTTGTGAATTTAATGGTACTAAGTGAAGTCACACACATCAGTGTTGTGCAAATGTAAAATCCCACAAAATGTGCTTTTCCTCTGGCATGTTTTACTTGCTATGGACGTTATCTGGATTCTGGCAACTGGCTTTTGAGAATGAAGTTCTTCTAATCACTTGATGTGTTTTCTATTCCCTTTGAAGCTCTTGCTATGTAAACATTCTATGGACTGTTGTTAGGTTTTAGAATTTACTTCAAAGTTCAAAATAACACTTGACCCCATTTTCCATGTAAAAATGAAAATTACAATTTTCCAGTTTAGCTATGATTAGCTGTGTCATTATAAATTAAGCCCAATTTTTTAGTTGAATATTTTATTTTTATTTTTAATTTTTAGCCCAAAGGCAGTCTCTCACCTCACATCTTGGAGGTTTGGAGTTTGAATTCCATGTTACTATTCAACTTTTTTTATTTCTCTCTAAGGATCCGAAAAAGGAATTTTTTATTGGAAAAAATTTCAAGAAAGTTATTTGAAAATTATATTTTGTTAGTTTGAATAGTATGAAATTAAAAAGAATGTGATTGTACTTATTAAAATTACCATTATAATTTAAAATATAAGAATAGAAGTACAAATGTGTTATAACATGTTGGAGAATATATATATTACTAAGGTGTTACAAGTGTTGTTGGAGAATATATACATATTTTTGAATTTATCACAATAGGTGCTAGTATGACAAAATTTGACTATTTTGTTGTCTAACCCTGTTCGAGTGTTTTGGAAGGTGTTCAAGTGACTTGTTGTGAATGAGAATTTATGATGGTGGCAGTTCAAGGTAACATAAACATATATTTGAGGGGTATAATAGGAATTTAAAATATAAAATTATACTAACTTTTACGAAATAGAGAAAACGTATGAGAAAATCAACTAATTACAAGAATCTTATTTTCCTAAATATATATTTTTTTCATCCTATCAAAAGTCATAAAATTTTAAAATCTTTTTCTGTTCTATTCTTTTCATACTACTTCTATGCAACCAAACTTACCCAAAAAGAAATTAGTTTTACCTGTTACTAGCTAAATTTACAGTTGCTGTACTAAATTTTGGACCTTTTTTCTTTCTTTCAAGTTTTATTTATTTATATACACACTAATTATAACCAAAAAAATTTCTGAAATAACATTAACCATTGGATCATTTAAATTAACTCATCCATCACTGATTTGGTCATAGCCGTCCTCCGCCTCTGGTTGAAAATTTTATTTCTGTTTCATACGATGTTTTGGTACCTCACTATCATATAATTTTCCTTTTTTTTATTTTTATTTTTTATCTAACGGGTAACATGGACCTTTTAAAATGGTGTTTTCAAAGTGACCCACAATTTTATTTTTCATAACACGGTACACTCACTTTGTTTATTTAAAGATTTGAGCTCTTACTGTCCATTTGGGAGGTAGAGTAAACCTTTTTAATTCAAAAAATAATTTTTCAAAAACTGTTTATCAAACATACTTTTATCTAATTTTTGTTTTTCATTTATTTGATAACAGAATTTATTCTTATATATCTAAACCACATATGCATATATCAAAGAGTGCATATTTTCTGCCAAGCTTAGAAAAACTTGATATGGTCATATCCTCTTGCGCATCTGCGCTAATATATATATATATATATATATATATATATATATATATAATAGTAAGATGATCACGCAGTCATTTTGTATTGACTTTTTACTTTAGAAGAAGGGGACTTGGTGGTTGTGATAAAAAGAAAAAAAACAAAGAAAAGAAAAAGACTTTGTTTCAAGGGGAATTTCAAAAAAGACAAGTAGGGAGAAACAAATTCAAACAACAGTGTACAATACCAACTCTAAGATCATCCTTGAATCAAAATTTCTTACCAAATACAATACCAGGAATAAGATTTAAATCCATACATTGCATATATATATATATATATATATATATATATATATATTATCTAAGAAAATAACACACGTTGATCTCTAAGGACTTGAACGGTTGAACCTTCAATTTTTCATTTAGAAAGGTGAAAAAATACCACTAAATTACCGTCTTCAGTGCTCAAACTCTTTACCCCGGACATGTTTATGTCAAACTGTGCTATCAAACTAGAGGAGATGTCCCCAACTTCTCTACCTTCCAGCTTTCATTGATTTTATGAATGAATTCTTCTACTCTTCTTCTCAACTCATCATCATCTTCTTTATCGTCATTCACCTCATTTTCACCGACTGTTGCCTCGCTAACATGATACGACGACGCTTCAGGAGAGCTTGTTAACGCGTTGTTCTCTTCTCCTTTTGTGCCATTCTTGCTTCCGTTGGCAACTTTTGAGGAAGGAATAGCAGTACTATCTTGATCAAAATGTGAGGTGGGTTTTGAGACACCCACAAGTACAAAGACTATGATCAAATTGCAGAAACAAAAGATGACAAGAGAATTGGAAGCTGCCAGAGTGATCAACTCAATTGTGGAACCAAACATGGTTGTGGAAAGTGGAAAGGAAATAATTTTTCAATGAACATAAATTTTTTTTAGACTTGTTGAGATGTGTTTGAGTCTTTTTGAAGGCTTGTTGGTGATGAAGAAAGGAGTAATTAGGAAGCATTGGTTGCTCAATTCAAGCACCATATAATGAAGGGTGGTGTGAAAGCTAATCAGAGTTGACATATATATTATATGCCTTTTGTCTTATCATTAATAATTTGGGAAGCTTCCATTTCAAGTGAAATGTGGGGCTTCCTTCATTGTTTAATCCAAGTCTCTCTCTTGGACCACATGGTAATTTCTCAGTTTCTTATGCCCTCAGTTGTCAACAACAATGGACATTATTCGATAGCTTATAGTTGGTAGAGCTTCTAATTCCTCGTAGGGACGAATCTAGAAACTCATTGAGGGGGGATAGTTGGTACATGACTGAGTCCAAGGCTCCCCTAGTGGGTATGCCTGTGTTCAAGTCTTAAAATAAAATTATGCATGAATCAAATCTATCATTCACGTAAAGGAAGTTTAGTAGATTCGGTGAATTGAATTTGGAATTGGATAAAGTTTAGTTCAAATTTTGTACTAAATTTTCTCCAATCTTAAATCAAAAGTTTCGATTTGATGCCACAAACGTAACATAAGGATTTTTTTTTTTTTTTCATTTTCCTCTTTCCTCGTTCTTTTTTCTTAAACGTTTCTTTTACTCTTTACTAAAATCATGAGGCAGAAGAAATGTCAAAAAATAATGAGTGATTGGGATGAAGATTTTTTTGCTTGTCAATTGTTTGATTAAACAGAATAAAAAATGACATGGTTACATTTTTTTCAAATAGTATATGATTACATAATTTGATTAAAGAGAACTACTGGTAGTAGTAACATAATTAAATATTTATTCTGAAGGGACTAGAAGGACATACTAAAGAGATCTCAGATAAACCAATTTGCCATTCTTAAAGAAATGGTAAAATCCAGCTCAAGATGTAGGTAAATAATTTATTAAATTCAAAATAATAATACACATTATAGGTATGGTACAATGATAAAATAACACGTCTATTTTGAATTTTAAATATAAGAGGAAGAAAAAAAAAAATTTATTCTCCATTGGAATTGAAATTGGAAATTTTTTAATTTCATATAGTGATTGCAATATTAGCTTATTGTGTAGCTTAATGGTACTTTTTTGCCAACCAAAAAAGAAGGTTGAAGGTTTAAGCACCCATTGTGGGTGTGCGTATTCCTTGTAATGAAAAAATAAAAAATAGGGACCATTATTTTGGGCCATGATAAATGGCTGGTTGCTAGGCATAAAAATGCAAGTTCAAATTTTATATTTGTATTTATACTATTAATTAAAATACATATACTTTCCAATAATACTTTTAACCAAAAATAATATCCAAAATCATTCAGTTTAACATAAATTCCATTCTCAACATATTTTATTCTCTCTCCTCATCCTTCGGCCTAACACAAATTTTTTTCATTCTCTAAAATTCAGGGAAAAAAAAAATCAATACTATAATATCACGTTCTGGCCGGCTAGAGCCTTGCAGTCACACCCAGAAGACCCCAATTTTATTTATTTATTTATTTATTTATTATTATTACTATTATTTATGTTTTGGACTTATATATTAATATATTTCATATATTGTCCACATTTTCAACAAGCTTGCTTCTCGAATGCCTCACTAAACTTGTGGACACTGGCAAAATGATTAAATATTAATTATCACACCACTAATATCATTCATACATATATAGATATACATGTATTGTATTAAATACATAGTGTATAAAGATACACACACTAAGTCACATACTCCATATCTCACTCCTCCGGTGGGGAGGGTGAGCGGTTTAAGTCTATTGGAAGACCATGGCCAGCAGCAACAGCCTGAACAGCTTGCATTTAATAGCTTGCACTTGTTAGCCTTCAACCTGATCGTCATGACCTTCTTCAACACCTTGCACTTGTTCCGCGTGGACTTCCACAGGTTGGACATCAACCTGTATTTCCGTCCATAACCTATCGCATTTTGCGTGTGGATTCTAGAGTGACCAAAGTAAGCTTTTCTTGTTTGGAATTCAATATTAGAAGGAACTCATAAAGTGTGGATTTCTAGATTACTGTTCATTGTGGTAGTGAGGTGGATATGTTGATGAGGAATTCAATGTTACAATGAACTCATAGAGTATTCCTCTAAGGATTTGAACAGTTGAACCCTCGGTCTTTCATTTTGGAAATAAAAAAGTACCACTAAATTACAGCCTTTGGTGGTCAAACGGAGGCTTTCATACATTGCATATTGTTGATTGGCATGCTTATGTCAAACTGTGCCTTCAGATTAAAGGAGACGTAATGCAGAACTGATTGCTGAAGTCTTTATGGCCCATTTGGATTGCTAGGGTCTAAATGAGCATGTGATAGATTTAGTGGGCTGAACCCGAAGTATCCGTTTTTAACTCGACATGAGAGTTTTTTTTAACTGTAAATGGCCTAACGAGTAAGACTTACCACTAAGCTATGACGTAATGGGAAGTTTGTAGAATATTTTGGGATTTTTGTTCGTTGTTTAAACAAAATCAAATTGCGCTCATATTTTATATTTAGTAGTATTATTTGATTAGGTTTTTCTCTCTATTTTCTCAGAATTTTTATAGAAAATTTATTTTTAGGCTTATTTTCGAGTATTAGTATCCTTTCGGGCTTAGGTTTACTTATGTTATGAGGATACATGTTGCAGTTAGTTTCCTTATGGATTAGGGTTTTCTTTCCTTATGTAATGCAAATATTAGAATCATTCATTCAATTATCAATAATATATTAGATTTCTCTAAATTATCTCTTATTTTGTGAATTCAAGACACCCTACTTTGTGGATTCAAAGTAAACTATTTCTCTTGAACAAATTTGTTGTTCCTGCTTACGTCAGTTGATATTAGAGCATTGTCTTTTCCTGGTTTGGTGGTAGATGAATGTGGTGACGATACCCTCTTTGACGACGATAAACGACAGAGAGAGGCTCTTTTAAGGGCTGAATTCCAGGACTTTCAACAGACAAATCAGTAATTTTAAAAGACAATCCAACAGGTGTTGCAAGAAATTCAAGTAACCCTTGCTGGGCTCACATTGGGTCCAAATCAGAATCGCGATAACAATAGGGTACGAAACATTGATGAAGATCACGTTTGTCCTTTTTAGAATCGCAACCCCATCCCACTACATAAGCAGCTAGCATACAAGGAAGACTTCAGTGATGATGACTACACTGAAGAGGTGCTTGGGGGAAATAGAGGGGCTGAAAGATATCAGGATCATGGACATCGTGATTCTAGGGAGTTTCGTATAAAGATAAATCTCCCCAGTTTTAACGGTAACCTTAATATTAAAGACATTTTGGATTGGTTGGCATAAGTTGAGAGATTCTTTGATTACATACATATCCAAGAAGATAAAATTGTGAAACTGGTGGCATACAAGCTCAAGGAAGGAGCTTCTGTGTGGTGGGAACAACTTCATGTTGCTCGCACACGGCAAGGGAAGACACCAGTATGCTCCTGGCAGAAGATGCAACATTTGAAAAAGGGTAGATTCCTGTCGCCAGATTATGAGAAGTATCTATTCCAGAAGTATCAGGATTGCAAGCAGGGAAGTCGAACGATTTAGGCCTATACGGAGGAGTTTAATCTATTGACGTCTCAGAATGACCTAAGGGAAATAGAGATGCAACGAGTTGCTTGCTATCTGAATGGTTTGCGATATGCCATTCACGATAAGGTATCAACGCAACCCTTTTTTGTTGGGGTTGGGGGAGAGATTATTCTTCTTTAGAGGACATTGTGGACTTTTTGGATTCCTTGAGTTTATAGATTCTTTTTGTGTATATCTCGGGATGCGTTTCCCTTTTAAATGCTTTCTAATACATTTTATTTATTAAAAAAAATGATAGGGTATCAACGCAGATAATTTATAATTTAGCAGAAGCCATGAATGTGGCAACAAGGGCAAAGGCCTTTTTGGAGAAAGCAAAAACACCGGGTGGCTCCAGGAATTACTTTGATTCGGTGCGTTCAGCAATGAACAAAGCAAAACAATCCCTACAGTCGGCCAGACCTTATTAAGTGTTATCGATATGGGTAGACATGAAATCGATCTAATGAATGTCTCTAAAGACGCTCAGTCAATTTAATGGTGCATGGGGGTGAGGAGGATGAAGATAGAGAAGTTGACGAAGGGTTTCCTTTATACAATGAGGAAGAGGTGATCGGAGAATATGAGGGGGATTTACTCTTTACTCTCACATTCTGTAGTTGTGCAAAGGCTGTTACTAGCCTAAAAAATTGAAAGATTATCCACAGAGGCATAATATATTCTGGACCCAGTGCATTATCAATAAAAGGTCTATGATGTAATTATTAATAGTGGCAGCAACGAGAATATTATGTCAATGGCGATGGTCCAGAAGTTAGAGCTGAAAAAAGAGAAGCATCCGAGTCCTTCAAAATTGGATGTATAAAAAAAGGGGCAGAACAAGGGTTACAAATATTTGTTGGGTTCCCTTTTCTATTAGGAATAAGTATATGTTGGTCCTTGCAGTTCTTTATGCTTGCCTCTTTAATATCAAAATTGTGTGTTTCAAGGCTGCCAATGTGTTCTCTCACCATTATTGCTGTGCATAATGGCTTATATTATCTCCCAGGGACAATTTAGTCTTTTACCTTCTTGTGGCACTCTTTCATGATAATTTAGGGTGGTACATGGTATTTATTCAGCAGCTTGTCTCCACTTTTATGGTTTTTAATAAGGTTTAGGGTATACAAATTAGCTACAGGGTTATTTATGGCATTGAGGTCATTTTATAGTTGCATTGGACCTTTTCACACTTGTCTAGCATGTTGCATTGCATTGAACAACACTGAATTGAGCAACATTGCATTTTATATAGCCTCAGTAACAGTTTTTTGCTCAAAGTGACAAGTGGCTAATTCAGGGGCATTTTGGTCATTTTGCTCAGTGCTCAAATGTGTGACATATAGTTGTGGTCCTAGTGTGAGAGTATATTCAATGAGATTCAAATTTATTTAGCTCCAAGTTTTGGATAAGATTATTGATATAGTAATGCGAGCTGCA